AAATAAGTCACAGTCTGTGCAGTCATTTGTTCCTTAGCAACAGCTTGTGAGAGCAGCGCATTAATTGGTCTTCGTTTTAATGCTGCCAGTTTGTTGACGGCCTCTGTGTGTTGATGGGACTTCTCATGCTCCCTAAATGTTGTTAAATCCTCCTTTAACAAAACTCCTATCCCTGTTCTTGTCTACACTGACGAGCGTCTTTTCTATTGCAGAGCAACAGAAGAAGCACACCGCATTATCATTTTCTTTTATAAAGTGAAGTCATGTCCACTGTTTAAACCAGCCTGAATTGAAGGATCGGGTGAATGTTTTCTTTCCAAACCGCCTGGCAGGGAATGTAAGTCCTTGGGCTGGCAAGGCTCTTCACCGAGGTTAACTGAGTTGTTGTTAGCTGCTGGACGGGGGGCAACGTCGTTAACAAGAGCTGCGGCCGTGGGTGTTCTCTTCTCCGGGTTGCTGGAGTGACAGTTGTCTGTCTCCACCTGCAGGGACTCCGAGTCGATAGGGTTTGTTTGGCTTTGGGGCCATTAAAGAAATCTAATATTAGTTTTTGAGACATAGTAGTAGCAATACTAGTAGCAGACTATTACTTGTCAATTCAACCTCCTCAACCGTGATTTTTTGCGCCCAACATTATTTGTTATGATATTTTCTGTGTAGTAGAATATATCATAACAAATAACATTGGGCGCGAAAAATCACGGTTGAGGAGGTTGAATTGAGCAGCAGTAATAGTAGTCTGCTACTTATTAATGATATTTTCTATACATCAACCATTTAAAAAACAACCATGTTTTATAAACTGCTTACACTAAAATGCTAACTCAAAATAAAACTTTTTTATTGATTTGTTTAGCGAACTTTTTGGTGTTGCAGTTACGACTCTCCGCCAACAGATGTGATTTAGCCCCCTCAGCACCCCCCATTCCCGCGTCCCTGCAGGGGGGCACCAAATCTGCACGCTTGCTAGAGGTGTCCCAGACTCTCCTGACCTGGGCAGCTCCTTGCCTGGCCAGCCTACGGTCAATGTATCTGCCCGGAGAGCAGAACCAAGTCGCCCACTTCCTCTCCCGTCACAAGCCTCCACCGGGGGAGTGGCGGCTTCATCCAGAGGCGGTGACCAGCATCTGGGTTCTCTTCGGCAGGGCAGAGGTAGATCTCTTTGCCTCGAAGATGTCAACCCACTGCCCCCCCTATGGTTCTCCTTGACGGAGAAGACTAGCCCTTTGGTTCTGGACGCCCTGGCTCATTCATGGCCAAAATGTCTCCTCTATGCCTATCTACCCCTTCCTCTGATCCTACCAACACTCCTCAGAGTGCTTCTTCTGGTGGCCCCCTTCTGGCCAGCCAGGACTTGGTTCTCCGTGCTGCACAGACTCTGTTGCGGGACGCCTTGGCCTCTCCCCAACAGGAAGGACCTCTTGTCTCAGCTGGAGGGTCGGATGTGGCACCCCGACCCCTGCCGCCTCCAGCTGTGGGTCTGGCCACTGGAGGGCCCGACCCGCTGCTGAGCGACTGTATTGAGCCTGTCAGGAGGACTATTCTCAATGCAAGGGCACCATCTACTCGTAGGCAGTACGAAAACAGGTGGAAACTGTTTTCTGACTGGTACCATGGGCGAAATGAGGAACCAGTACATTGCTCGGTGCCTACTATCCTTGAGTTCCTGCAGTCCCTCCTGGACGACGGCCGGTGTCCCGCTACCGTCAGGGTGTATGTGGCTGCTATATCGGCTCAACACGCAAGGGTTGACAACAACACAGTGGGGAGCTCTGAGGCTTCGCCCCCCGAACGTCCCAAGGGCTCCTACATGGGACCTTCCCTTGGTGCTGGATGCCCTATGCTCGCTTCCCTTTGAACCCTTGTCACAGGCAGAACTGAGGTTGCTCTCAGCTAAGACTGCTTTCCTTCTTGCCATCACCTCAGCAAAGCGTGTAAGCGAGCTTCAGGCCTTGTCCGTGAACAGCTCGTGTCTGAGGTGGAACTCAGATGGCTCAGGTGTCACCTTATGGCC